GGGGGGGGCGGGGTGGCTGCCTCTCTCGCCCGTCTATTTAACCCCTGCGTGTCCGTGTGCTTGTTGTGTTGTGCCTGTGCGTGACCTGACGGCACGCTTCTTCTGTGCGTGACATTTCTGCGTGCGTCGCTCTTTCAACCCCCCAACTTGTTGCATCTCTGCGCGTCGTTCGTGTCTCTCTCTCTCTCTCTCTCCTTGTGTGTGTGTGTGTGTGTGTGTCTTCGTTTGGTGGTACAGAAGGAGCCAGACTTGCATCGTTTTTATCTGCCTGTCGCTGGTGCTGCTGCTGTGAGTGCGAGAGACCTGAACTGCCTGTCTGTCTGTCTGTCTGCCCACATATGGGGCATTGCAATGGAATCTCCTCGTGTCGACGGATCAGGCGATTTCACACAATCGCACACACACACGTCAAGTCACAGTTCGGGGCCACATCACCACACACACACACACACAGCACACCGCATTAACAGTAGGACAACACTGTCCCATGGATCGATCACGAGACCGAGCTGAGCTGAGCTGAGCTGAGCTGAGGTGCACGCAACACGGGCACACGCGTCAGACACACGTCAGTCAGGTCAGTGCAGCCAACCAGCCGCCCCTCCCACCCCACCCCAGCCCACTCACTCACTCTACAGTGGCTCGCATCGTCACTCACTCACCGGGTTAGATAAAGCGCACCGCACCACATACAGAGAGGGAGACACACAGGTAGTGTGGTACAAGACTTGTACAAACACGATTACACGAACGAACACACGGACACATACGATCGAATCGATACCAACGCACCGCACTCACAACGCACACACACTGACACATGACATCAGACAGAGAGGCAGCTGAGCTGGACAGATTGCCCAATAAAAACAACCAAAACTCCTCTCTCCCTCACCCTCTCTCAGACCGCCTCTCTCTCTCTCTCTGCTGCTCATCCGCCGAATCCCCCACCGCCACCGACAGCACATTGCTCGAGGCGAACCGTGTCGACGGCCAGTGACAGCTGCCCGCCGGGCTGGCAGAGGCACTTCGGCTGCTGCGAGTGGCGCTCTGCGTGTGCATCGGCACGCCCGACAGCCTCCCGCAGGCGTAATGATGGTGGGGGGGGTAGTAGGGCATAGAGGGGGGGAAGTGCGGCGGCGCATGAGGATGGAAATAGCCCACGTAGGGGGACAGCTGGGGGTGGGGATGGCCGTAGGGCATCCCGAGGGCAGGGGCAGCCGTGGGCGGATCCTCCTCTGCGTACGTCGTGTCGGCGTCATCTTCATCATCGGCCACGCCACGCGACGCCTGGCTGGGCAGGCGAGTCGCCGGGACCGAAGAAGCCGCCCTGCCGGGCGGGGTTGCGCTGTCGCCGTCTTGCCTGTCGTCGTCACTGGTGTCATCCGTCCGCTTGCTCCGGCCCTGCTCCTCATCGCCGCCGTCTCCATCAGCGGCGTCCCTCTGAGCCTGTCTCCGCGTCCTCTTGCAGTGGGTGATTTGGAACGAGATGGCGAGCCCCACTAGCGAGACGACCGTCCCGATCATCCCCCACACCCAGTCGTGCTCATACCAAGGGTTGTCATCGGTGGGGGGCGGGGCGGGTGTGGATCTGTCGGCGGGGGGCGGCCCGGGGGGGCACTTCTGTGGGCTGTCTGCGACCGCGCCGCTGGCACAGAGCACCATTTTCTGTGGCACGAGTGGCTTATTGCTGGCCACGACCTCATCAAGCCACCGGAATTCGTCGCGTTGTTGGTAGAGGCGGCTCCTGGGGTCCGTGACGTGCCGGCGGAAGTCCTCAAACAGCACAAAGGGCGTTTTGGCGTACTCGGCATGGCCAGTGTGGAGACTGCGACGTCTTGACACTTTCTCCGGCATGAAGACGACTGTGACGGCCTGGTTTGGGGCGGACTTCACGCGGATGCGATCGGGCGACACACCGAGAAGCTTCTCAACCTCCTGCTCCAGCTCGCGGAGACTGTCGACGCTGAGGCTGCCCGTGTTGAGCTGAATGGTGGTCTGGAAAGGGGCCGTCTTGTCCTCCTCGCTGGGGTCCTCCAACACAAACTTGAAGGCGCGCTCCTCGGGCGAAGACATCCCCAGCATCAGCACATTGGGCGTCTCATCGCCGCCTACAGCGTGGTGCTTGTCGAGGTACTCGCGGATCATGGGCACGTCCCGCCTGGCCTGCTCGTTAGGGAGGAGCGTCACGAGACCCACCACCTTGAGCTCCTCGCTGTCATGGAGAAGCGGCCAACACGGGGGGCTCTCCTCTTCCATCAGATTGAGGTACAGCGTCTGCTTCTCGCCGGGTGTGGCCAACATGCCGACCAAACACAAACCCCCGCCATCATTCCCCTCCTCAGGGCACTCTGTGGGAGAGATGATGGAGCTGGCATCGGACCTCAGGAGGGGCACAGCTTGGCAGAGGATGTCGTTGAGGGGCGTCTGTGAGGGCGCCACGACCGCCACAACCTCGTGGGGCGTGTAGTAGGTGGTCGAGAGGGACGTAAGCTCGATGTCGACCACGGGGGACCATTTCTTGCGACGGACCGGTGTGGACCCTAGCTGCATCGGCGGCTTCACCTCCAGAGTCAGAGTTGTCGACGCACGGCCGCCCGAATTGACCGCCTGAACCATGCACAGCCAGCACAAGCACACCAATCCACCAGTTGAGTTGCATAGTCTCGATCCCCTTCCCCTCTGTCCATCCTCACGCACACATGGCATACCTCAATCGTGTAGGACTTCTCGCTGGACTCTTCCCTTGGTGTGCCCCCCAGCACGCCAGTGGTCGTGTTGACCGCCAGCGCCGGGGGCAGCCGGTCGCTCTCAAAGCGCTCTGGCGCGCCGCCCTCCCACGTCGGCCTGCGCCCGGGAATGGGCATTCCGACACACAGGATCGTCACGTCGGGGCCGGGGTAGCTGAGGCTGGTCGGTGCTGTATCTGCAACGGAACACCACACACGGGGCACACGAACACACAAAAGGGTCCGTCACGAGACTGATGTGGATGCGTGTGGACATGGGAGCTGTCTGTCTGCTCACCCTTGACGCAGGCCCCGCCATCGCAATCTCTGGACTCGGTGTCGCTGTCTTGGTTCGCGCAGTGACTCGTGTCCACCGATGTGTCATTGTTGTCGAGGGTGAAGGTTTGTGTCTGCCGGCACTCCTCACTACACGTTGACCAGGCGCTCCAGCTGCCCTTGCACACCCTCGGGTCGCCGCACTCCTCGGGTGCACATGGCTCTGTCTGCGTCTTGGGGACGCACGGCCTATTCTCGTCGTCCACCGGGAAATCCAGGTGCTGGTCACGTGACCGCGTGCAGTTGCCGCCCTCATCCAGCTGGCACGCCCTCCACTCGCCCCAGTGGCCGAAGCACCTCGATGACTCAGACGGAACTTCTGTCTGGCCGCTGGCCTGCGTGACGACCAGAGCGACGATGATAATCACACACCACCAGTCCTCCCCCATACGCCACGCGCCAGCCAATCGCACAGGCATCGCCATCACATCAGAGATCTCTCCGCCGCCTGTCGTGGGTCCTCTCTTGAAGCATGGCGTTGAGCCGATGGAATGAAGCTCGATGACACCAGGGAGAGATCCCGCGACCACTCGAGAGCTTGTCTTGCTGGTGCTGTCATCAGATCACACAGCCAAGGGTGACGTATGCCGTGTCTGATGGCCCCTCTGGCATCCCCGTCACTCACCTCGTTGCGCAAGGGCCACAAACAGCTCCAAGGTCTTTCTGCGAAATCTCGTTCTTCCGCAGCGGTTTCACGCAGTACCCTAAGCCTGATTTCGAATGCAAGCTTTCCCATTGCGTTGACCCTTCCTCCTTTGCAGCTATGGGCAAGAAGCAGCACAGCAAAGACAAGGTGAGGTCCAAAAGAATGCAGATATCGGCATACGAGATCTGACCTGTTGCGTTGCGTGCTGCGTGTGTCCCACCTCATATAGCTGTACATCATCCCGAGTGAGTATGGCCGCGACTGGGGAGGCTACAAGAAGCAGAACCTCGCTCTGCCTTTCAAGGCCCTGCCCTTCTACTGCTGCGGCCTTTCCCTCTCGCCCTTCGACGACCCCGTGTGCACCAAAGAGGGCATCGTTTTCGACGCATCCCGCATTCTTGCCTACATCAAGAAATACAAGCGCAACCCCGTCAACGCAAAACCGCTCTCAGCGGGTGAGTCACACACATACACCCACACCGGAAGACATCCGATTGACCTGATGTGCTGTGCTGTGATTGTGTCGTGTCTGTCTGTCTGTTCGTTCCCGTAGGTGATTTGATCCCTTTGAAGTTCCACAAGAATGCGGCGGGCGAGTACCACTGCCCGGTGACGTTCAAGGTCTTCACCGACCGCAGCACCATCGTGGCCAACGCCAAGAGCGGACACGTGTACGCCAAGGAGGCCGTCGAGGAGCTCAATCGCAAGGCCAAGAACTGGAAGGACCTCATCACGGGAGAGCCATTCAGCTCGGCCGACGTCATCACCATCCAGGACCCGCAGGATGTCCTCTTCAGGAAAATCGAAGAATTCGACCACATCAAAAGAGGTCGGTCAGACGCACACAGAGGGGGAAAGGGCCATCGATGCATGTGTGTGTGTGCCGTGTCGGTCGGTCGGTCGGTCGGTTGTGTCGGTCATCCATCTGATCTGCAGGACTGGCTGTTCCCGGTTCAGGGTCTGCGTCGGGCGTGCCGGCCGAGGAGGGCAGCAGCACGGCCTACATCAAGCGGCCTGACATGATGGAGCGGGTCTACGAGGAGAAGAGGAAAATGGAGGAGCAGAAGCAAAAGGAAAAGGACAAACTCAAGGCACTTGTCGACGAGGAGGGGGATGAGGAGCCCGCCGCTGCCGCTGCCGCTGCCGCTGGTGGTGGTGGTAAGACCAGACGAGAGAGACAAGCAGGCAGGACAGGTGTGGTCGTCTCTTGTCTGATGTGATGGGTTGTGTTGTCTGTCGGTATATCGATCAGGCGTGAAGAGGCCGGCTCCCGCTGACGCGTCAGCCCCCCCAGAGGCCAAGAAGAAACACTCATTCCTCACCACCAGCAAGTACTTATCCGCACACACACACACACACACACAGAGAGAGAGAGAGAGAGATAGGCCGATGGCCGGACAGACGGATGGATGGAAAGCCCATGCAACTGATCATCGCCTTATTGTCGAATGGAATGGTTGCAGGCAGGCTGCGAGTTTCACGTCGACGGCTGTGAATATCGACACCCGGTTTGAGTACCGCGACATGACGGGCGAGGAGGTGCGGCAGACCTACTACGCCAGAGTCAAGAAGAACAAAAAGAAGGGGTCAGTCACATAACACATCAACACATCAACACACTTACACCGACCATGACGGGCTCTCTCTCTCTCTCTCTCTCTCCATCTCTCTCTGTGTGTGTGTCTCCCTGAGTGCAGGTACGTGCGTATCGAGACGACTCTCGGTGGTCTGAACATCGAGCTGCATGCCGACCTGACGCCCATGGCCTGCGACAACTTCCTACGACACTGCGAGTCGGGATACTACAAAGACACCATCTTCCACAGGTCAGTCGGTCAGTGAGTGAGGCAATCTTTGCACCACTTCACTTCACTGGCGCCTGGCAAGTGTATGTGTGGTTTGGTGTGCAGGTGCATCCCGAGTTTCATGATTCAGGGGGGCGATCCGACGGGCACTGGTGAGGGTGGCGAAAGCGCCTTCGAGGACGGCAAGCCATTCAGAGACGAAATGGTGTCCAAGCTGCTGCACCAGGTGTGTGTGGACGAATGCCGGCAGGCAGCCAGACGGGAAGGGTGACTAGTGCTGCTGTGTGCGACCATGTGTGTGTGTGTGTGTGTGTGTATCAGGGCCAGGGTGTGGTGAGCATGGCCAATTCGGGCAAGAACACCAACAAATCTCAGTTCTTCATCACGTTCAAGTCCTGCGAGCACCTCAACTACAAACACACCGTATTCGGAAGGGGTGAGTCGAGTCCACACACACACACACACACACCTGCACTGCACTGCACTGCACTCCTGTTTGTGTCCATGTGTCCAGTCACGTCTGTGTGTGTGTCCTTGCCTCTGTTTGTATCCGTCAGTTGTGGGCGGTGTGGACGTGCTGCGGGCTATGGAGGCCCTAGACACCGACAAGAATGACAAACCACTCGTGAGACGAGACCACCAAGCAAGGCACACACGCATGCCATGGGCACAGTACTGATTGATGTGTCTGTGTGTTGGTGCGGTACAGGTGCCGCCCAGGATAGTTGAGACCCACGTGTTCAGCAACCCCTTCACCGAGGCCAAGGAGCAGCTCCAGAAGGAAGAGGAGGACAAACTTAACCCCGCAGAGGTCACAACCAATCACAAACGCACTCACACAGCAGACAGGCGGCCAACACAAACGACCGCGATGAGATGACGGTGTGAGTGTGTCTCCTCTCTGTCTGTCTGTCTGTCTGTCTGCAGGAGGATCCCAATGCGGCGTGGTTTTCTAACAGGGCTGCACTCGACGCCATGGCCAGCCACCCGAAGCGGTAAGTAGCCACACATCACATGAATGCACCGCACCATCAAGCACACATCACATGCATTCATCTGTCTGTGTGTGTGTGTGTGTGTTTGTCAGGGAGTCGGACGAGATCGGCAAGTATGTGGCCGGCAGTGCAGCTGCAGCACCCAAGGCAGCGGCGAAAGCAAAGTCAGTACCTAAGGCGGGCGACACGACACGCGAACAAAGGTCACGCCCGCCCTATCTGTCTGTCTGTATGCTATGCGGTGTGTGTGGTGTGTGTTGTTGGTCTTTATCGTTCGTTCGTTCAGGCCGGGTGCAGCACCTAGCAAGGCCGCCCCGTCCTCCGCACCAGCAGGTCGTGGTCAGCTGCCGACGACGATAGCCGAGAAGGGCGACATAGAGGAGGAGTACGCCGCCGTGCCCGTCAAAAAGAAGGCCATCAGGACACAACTCGACTTCAGCGGCTGGTAGCCTTCATCTGTCACTCACTGACATGCGTGTGTAAAGATAGACCGACCAGAGGGCGCGGCGCTTTGTTTATGACCGGTGGGAGATTGGCAGACAGACAGACAGAGTGCCTGACTGTTGTTGAGCCTTGGTCGAGTCGGGGAGGGAGGGAGGGAGGGAGGGAGTCTGTCGGCTCGTTAGGTCAGCGGCTGTACTATTTGTCTCTGTGATGCGGACGGACACGATGTATGTCATTCGTCATTCGTCAGTCGTCCGTCAATCCAGCCATCCATCCATCTATCTGGACCACACGCCCACATGGACGGGAGACATTCCAAAAAGTAGAGGAGATCTCTCTCATCCACACGAGGAGGAGAATCTTTGTGTCGGTCACGCAATACTTAATGGTGTCAAATGCCTGGAGACGAGCATGCCTTCCTTAACCAGATAGACTCTCCAAGGTTGACTGACTGACTCCACACATATATCATCGCTTGGCACGCACCGCACAGTACACACGCATCCGCACAGCCGTACTGCACAGCCTTATCGAAAGGAACCACTCTCGCTCACTCCTCGCTAGCTGCCTAATTAATGATTCCCTCCCTCCCTTGTCCACCGTCTGAAGGAGTTAGTCTGTGAGGTCGACAGCCCCCCCGCCACCAGCATGCTCTCCAGGTCATCGAAGCGACACAGTTGCAGCTCACGCAGATCCACCAGACGCACACGCTCGAACCCATCACAGACATACGGCCGCAAGCCGTCCGGTAGTGGGCCCTCGGGATAACAGCACGTGTCATCATCTCCCTCGCCATCACCCACTCTGTTGTCATCCAGTCGTCGTCTGATCAGCGGGTCCAGATCCCCTGTGTGCGGGTCGGCGCGTACGCATCCCCATGTTTCGTAGTGCCTGCCCATCAGCCCGCCTTCGCCGTGGCCAATCAACACGTACTCGAGTGCATCAGACAACCGGACGGCCGATGTCCAGTCGACGGCAAAGGGCATCCAGGATATCAGCACCAGCAGAGGCGAGTAACGACGCAGCGCGGCCTCAGCATCCACACAGACAATCGGCACCATGCCCAGACATGGGTCACTGAAGGGCGGGTGGCTGTCAGTGGCCACATAGCTGATCGGGCGGCTCGGCGCTTCGTCGTTGCTGAGCTCTCGCTGCAGGCAGAACGCCAGAAGCCCTCTGCCGCACCCCAACCTACACACACAAGCATGCAAGAGGATCAATCAAGAGGATACATACGCGAATCGAATCGCTTTGCGTTGGTCTTCCATACTCGAGGATGTCAACTTGTTCTCGGGCAGGGGGACGCTGCTGCTGCTGCTGCTCCTCCTGCTGCTCCTCCTGCTGCTGCCGGATGTCCCTCAGAAAGGTGACTCGCTGCCGCAGATAAGCGGCCAATTGCGTTACGTACTCTATCGACAGCAGCTCATAGACGAGGCATGATTCATCTTTGCATAGCTCCTCGAACCTTCTCTGCCGCTCCCTTTTGTCCATCTGCTCTTGTCGGATGCGCTCCATGATGTTCTCTCGATGCATCAGCCCACCAGAGCGAAGAGAAGTGAAGATATCGTCCATAAGGGAAGGGTTCAGGGCTCCGCAGGTCAGAGATGACCCCAGAAGGGTTTACAAACCCGGAACCCTGGCGCGTTGAGGCCCTCCCTCGTGACTTGTTTCTGGCCGGGGACCGCTCGAGAACGATGGGAGATGGTGAGTGTGCAGCTCCCCCGGCTCCCAGTGAAGCTGAACTCGAAGCTGAAGTAGAGGAAGGCTCAGACCTGCCCCCCGTCCTCCGTGTGAGATTGGGCACCGGTCCCAGCGCTGAGGTGGTCGACCTGAAGACCGCTTGGCTGAAATCAAGCCGCCAGTGGGGAACCGATTGGCAGGGGAAACGGAACGCCGCACTGATCAAGAAGAGTCTCCCCTACAAGATAGTCAACGAAGGCGCCCAGGATGATGAGGGTACGCATTCGATGCACAACAGTCCGTCTGCGTGAGAATAGCTCTCTGTCGTTGCCCCTGCAGGCAAGACGTGGGCGGAGAGACTCGCTCGGGACAACCCAGCAGAACAAGCGGTCGTAATTCTTGGCTGCGCCAAGCTGTGGCGCGAGTATACGAAGCAGGTCTTCGCTTAAGGTTTCCCTGTCGAAAAGCCCGAGGACGCCACGGTGGGTGGTCTGCGATTCGAGCTCAGACAGTGGGGCATTGAGGCGACGGAGACCGATATCCTCTCCACCCAAGTGCTAAGGTGGGCCGTCACGGGTCGAGCAGGCAGGAGTGAAGAATGCATCTGTTCATTTCATGGCCGTTGTCTGCTTCTCTCTCAGAGTCTTGTTTTCGAGGTCCTGGGAGCGTGTGCAGCAGTTCTGGCGTTGGCTGTCTTGAGTTCTTCAGTCTCTTCAGCGTCCTCCTCGTGGACTACAGCCGTGGAGACTCTGGAGACTCTCCCACTGGCTTCGGCGACGGCATGTAAGACTCAAATGGCGGCGGCATGTACTGCAAGGCCCTGATGTATGGGGCCTTGTGGATGATGAAACACTAGGCCGGTGCAATAGGCGCGACCTGTTCGCCAAAGCTACCCTGTGGCCGGAAGGCTGGCATGTCCGCCTGTAGGGCCTGTAGGGCCAGCCCTGCAGGTGGATGTCCAGCCCTCCAGTCACAAGGCCAGTCCTGCAGTCAGAAGGCCAGCCTTGCAGCTGCAAAGCCAGCCCTACGGCCACAGGGCCAGCCCTTCAGCTAAAGAGCCAGCGGTGCAGCGACAGGGTTTCATTTTTGTTTTATTCTTGTACCTTTTTTTGTTTCATTCTTGCTGTTTTTTGCGATGTTTGCGGCGTGTCTTCTCTCCAAGTTGTACCTGACAATGGTCAGATTCGACATTGTTGACTTTTCTGTGAGAATCAATGCACGCCTATGGTTTCAAGTGAAGGCGGAGCATCACCGCGGCCCAGTCACCCCAGAAACCCTCTTTTGCCGCCAACCTCAGGTTTACAAACCCTTGACAACGCGCCAGGGTTCTGGGTTTGTGAATTCTTCTCGGGTTTAGGAACCCACCGAATTCGAGTTTGGGGTTGGAGGAGAGGGAGGTGGATCTCCCTCTCCTACACAAAGAGACGTCGCGCCCCAGCTCATCTCAGATCTCTTGCTGCACCCTCTCTCTCCTGTCAGCCATCCTCCTGACCTGCGACAATAGCGATGATGATGAAGTGTGGTGCGGTGGCGTGTGTCCTGGCGCTCCTGGCGGCCTGTGTGCCCCTCGCAGCGGCTCAGCATTGCCCGATCAAGGAGGAGCCTCATCCTGAGTGCCCGCACGGCTTCATGTATGACGCCGGTGGCGGCAAGTGCCTCAAGCCATTCCGTCACGAGCCCCACTACTACTGCGCTGAGCAGGTAGGCACGTTGACCCACCCACCAGACACACACATAGGACGTCATGACTCATTGGTGTGTTCGCTGTCTGTCTCTCTTAGGGCTATGTGGTTGAGGGCAATCAGTGTGTTCTGTATCAGTACGCCGACCGCATTCCCTACTGCAGGGACCCTCACGCGACTCTGTCGGGCACCACCTGCACCACAGAGGAAACCTGCCCTCCCGACTACAGGTGCCGCTTCGGCTACCACCTGACAGCCGACGGCACCAAGTGCTACACCAAGTGCCCCTACACCGGGAGGATCCAGTATGCCCCCCGCGACCCCTACTGCCCCCGCGGCGTCCTTGATGCGCACAGGCATCTGTGCGTCATCACCAAGACGTACCCGGCTGACTTCAGGTGCCCCTTTGGCTACGACCCGAGCGGTGACAAGTGCGTCGCCAAGCACTTCGCAGAGAGACTGTAAGCAACACGGAGCAACACGGCACAGCGCTCCCTGACCCATCCACTGTCCCCATGTGTGTGTGTGTGTGTGTGTGTGTGTGTATCAGTCATTCGTGTCCGGATGGCCTCGAGTTCAAGCGAGGCGGCGAGCTGCCGCCGGTGTTGGGGGTCGGGGCAGACGAGGAGACGTGCATCAGGTGCGACCACGCTCCCGTCCAGCACGTGTGCGCCAGGGGCGACCTCCAGTGGATCGATAACAAGCCTGTCTGCTGCGTTAACCATCCCTGCAGCAGTGGCCACTGCGGTGGCCATGGTCACCCATACCACCTGCGGCGGGAGTAGATAGATGGGCAGGGATCTGTGTCACTGTTCTGTCTGTGACTGGCTGTGTGGTGGTGGATGGATGCTTCATGTGCATGTGCCATGTTATCCTCATGTGTGTGCCGACTCTGTCGTCGATCGGTAGCGGGTTGTTGTGTGTACATGGTATAGACACCTACATGGTCGCTAGTAGCGTATGTCTTTGTCACGGTCACTTTTCCCGACAGGCTGGCTGGCCGGCCGGCTGCCTGTCGGCACCCCTGCGTGTGTGCTGGTTTGTTCTCGTGTGCCTGTCGGCACCCCTGCGTGTGTGCTGGTTTGTTCTCGTGATTGGCAGATAGTGTTGTTACTGTGGTCTGGGTGGCGTCAATCAGTGGTGGAGAGGGGCTGTTGGTAATGCGTGCTTTGAAAAGAGTCGACATGGCCTGCCTGTGCAAGTACCTGTGTGTGGCTGATATGTGAGTTAGTCAACGTGACGTGTGAGTACACGTGCGCGTCGGCAGACACGCACCCTTTTTTAAGACCCTCAAGGAGACAGACAGATGAGCCAATTCCGTGACTGTGTGTGGTGTGGTGTGGTGTGTTGCAGTGTGTGTGGCGGTGTTGCATCCGAGAGGCCCGACTAGTCCGCCAAAGAGAGGTGACTGACTGGTCAGTGGGGCTCCGTGATCGACTCTCTCACACTTTCTCTTTTCTTCTTTTCAATCCGTGGAATGGATGGATGGATGTGGTGTTGGCGATGGGGAGGGGATCAGGGGGGAAGGCGAATGCACGTGACACACGGACTCACCATCTAAGCTAGTAATTTGAGATGATGAAAGAGAGCATTGGTCGGCTGAGAGAGATTCTTCGTAAGTCAGCTCACGTAATCGTGTCAAATGCGAACACACATTCTCACACACGACCGATGACACTCACACGTATGTATAATCCGGCCTTACACGCACCGATTCACCCGCATGGGTACTATAATTATGTCTCTCCGGCTGCACACACATTCCACAAATGACACGGAAGAGTACTGAGGAACGACCAGACGCATCTGCTGCACTCGCTTCATACAAACAGCACACCGAGGCGCACACACCACCCGGAGGCACGCAAACGCACACACAAGTCTACTACTCGACGGATGACCACATGACACACACCAGACAGATTGACCCTCCCCCATCCAACACAAGCATATACTGTGGTCAGCCAGCCTCACCCCGCGGTCTCATGTGGCATCGGTTGGCGAGTCATCTGCTGCGGCATCATCACCTGTCGTCATGACACACAGACACACGCAATGCAGGTCGACATGTTTTGATGAGGGCGATGGATGGGCATCTGTGTTGTTGTCCCCTTGTATTCCCTTGCGATGCGTACCTTCGCTGCCCCCTTGGCTGCCGTCGTCTATATCGCCATCGCCATTGTCACTGCTGCCGTCTACATCACACAGACAGAGACACACAGACAAGACACCTCATACACTGACACACGTGTTCCCTCCCGTCTGGTCGGTCAGAGCGTACCATCGTCACCATCGTCACCATCGTCATCGTCGCTGTCATCGTCGGTGTCATCGTCGCTGTCGTCTATCCAGTCGAAGACAATGGGCGCCACCGCATCGCCCAGCGCCTCCCGCGCCAGCGCGGCGGTCGCGGGGGATTCGTACTTGAACACACACCGTGGCCCCCATGGGCACACACAGTGCTGCTGAGACGTGCAGGGGAAGGGGCGGCCGCTGACATCCACACGTGGCTCAGTTGTGGATATATCTATTCCAAACACTGTAGAGAAGCAAATAAAAGAGAGAAAGCATATTTGCCTGTCCATCTCTTCGGCTATATCATATCTCATCGCGGCTGACTTTGTTCGTCCCGACTGCCGTTGACGCAGTTGCAGAGCATTATTTCCGCGACGAAGGGGTGGCTGCTGTCCGTGAGCACCAGCTGCACCAGCATTCCAGGCCCAAGAGGGTGACCTGGCATTCCATCGCTGCAGATGGTCGTCGAGCACCCTATAGCTGGTGTGTGAGGCGACCCGGTCATCAGGGCAGTCAGACGGCCACCGCCTTCGCCACGCCTGAGCCAACCAACGACACGCACATCGCGAGTATGTGTGCCCTCCGGAGTGACTGACGTGTTCCGTACATCATACCTGTCAGCATCAGACATCGCCCTGTCGACATCTTCTGAGTTCAATAGGTCATTACCAATCTCCCGCTCCTCATCCGAACGGCTCACATTGAAGTAGTTAAGGATTTTCCCTTTGGCAAAGTGCGACACCGACGCATAGGTGACCTCAGAATCGTCATCCTCCGCTTCCCATTCTTCACAATAGCGAATGCGGCTGCTGGCTGGTGGGTCGTGGTCCTGTCGGTGGCGTTGATACAGGTGGCCGGCAGGCAGGCCGGGTGGGTCAAGCGTCAGCTCGAAGCCTGGCTCGTCCTTGATGGCCCGCAGCCTGTCGCCATGTTGAAACAGCTGGAACGTCACGCCGTCGCCGAGGTTGATGTGGCGGCCGACCATCTTGAGCTTAGCAATCACACGGGGAACCGACACATACGCCTAAACAGACACACACACACACACACAGACATAGAGAGAAGGGTGGGAAACGCCAGAAGTGCGCCTTACGGACCGTCTTGTTGGCGTGTGTGTTGATGTCTTCGGCAGTCAGCACAACGGGCAGCGTGCAGGCTCCGCAGTGGTCGGCCAGCCGCAGCACGTCGGCAGTGCCATCGTCCCACCGCCCTCCCTCCTCAGCTATCCACAGGGCCGCCAGCACAGTACCCCCACACAGCGACTCGTCAAACTGCACCAGCTGGGTGTCGATGCCGCTGCGGGCAATCGAGGTGTGGAGTCGGCTTCGCAGCTGTGCAGACGACAAGGCCTCTGAGAAGCATCGCGCGGTGGCCCTCAGCTGCAGGATGGTGCTGAGGTCGAGCAGACAGGACTGGTCGTCGCCGACAAAGAGATGGGTGAGGGGGTGCTGCGGGGTGGCCGGCTCTGGCTGATCGGACTCGGAGGAGCGTCGCCGCCAGCACCATGACGCCACACGGCAGCAGATGCGCCACAACCACTGTGACACCACCAGCATCAGCCGACACACAGCCGAGTGACAACCGCGGGAAACGCAAAAAACCAACGCAGCTTCGTTCCTGCGACACACGACACACGACCTTCGTCCTCGCCTTCCTTCTCTCCTTCCTCCCTTGTCGTTTTGTCCCGTCGTCTGTGTTTACACGTGCGAGCTGAGAGCTGAGCGCGCACCCTAAATCTCCCGTTACCACCGAACACATCCTCGCCTCTTCTTCCTTTTCCCCTGAGATCTGTTCCTTCTACGTGCATTGGGAGCTTGTCCTCGCTAGAGGTCCCGTTGATTTTGTCAAGCATCCATATCAGGGAAGATGAAGGAGCATCGTGTGGTCTGCGGCAATGCAGTGCTGCTGATCATGACATTCGCTCTGCAAGGATGCCTTGCTTATCATGCAACCCAGCCAGGTCGAGAAGATGTGC